ACAAGCCTACCTGCAAGTCCACAAGGGCCTTTTCACTAGTTTGTTGATCTCATTGGATGTCTCTCCCTGTACATCAACAAACCCATACTTTCCATAACTCACTCTGTCTCCCTTCTTCCCCTTTCTCTCTCCCCCTCTCCCCACTCTTTCTTCCTCTCTCTCTCTCTATGTGGAACATCAACTCGGCTGCTTTTCTTGGTGCTCTAGCAGCTGGCTGCGACCCAGTTACGCTTTACCCCGAACATTTATTTCTCTGTGTTCTTTTGGCCAGAGGGGTTAGAGGACGGGATGGAGTGAAAAAAATATATAAAGAAAGAAACAGCAAGCTAGTTTGAAAACCAGACAGAGTCAAGTTTTACATGAACAGGCCAAAAAAGAGCTTAGGCTGGCTGACAAAAAACATCCCGTGTAGTCTATCAGGCCTAAAATAGCATAGAAAGAAGCGCTGGAGTAAATTAGACAACTTTTCTAAATTTTCACACTACCTTGCCTGATCTAGCCCTGCAGCTCTGATAACAGAAAACTCAGACTTAAGTCCACACTGGTGCTCAGATCAAGTCCCATACAAACAACGTGGGGAATGTTTGTGAGGGAGAAAGGCCCAAAGGAGACGACAGGAGTCGGCTCTCTGTGAGCACGTCGAATTGTTTTCATGCTCAAAAGCTAGTCCAGGTGTCTGAGCCACAGAAATGATGTAACGTCCACTTCTTCCATCACTCACACACACACACACAACAGGAAGACAGTCCTGTGGAGCTCTGTAGCTTCAGACCAAGTTGTTTTTCTTGAACATTCCTCTGGACATCTGGGTTGTTCTTGTTGTGCTTCCTATTACAGCATGTTCAGTACTAAAATAATAGAAGGGGTCCTTTGGTCTATTATAAGGTAGGATCAGGGTTAAGATGAGAGAAGATTTCATTTGATCTGGATCACAGGTACAAAATGCAAGAGAAAGCAACATCATTTACACTCTACATTCACCCTGTACTATTAATCCATCAGTGTGTGATACGGGGCTGCAACTAACGATTATTTTCATTGTTGATAAATCTGTCGATTATGGTCTCGAATGATCAATTAGTTGGTTGGTCTATAAAATATCAGAAAATGGTGAAAAAAATGTCGATCAGTGTTTTCCAAAGCTCAACCTGACATAAGCAAATGTCCCAAATATATGCAGTTTACTGTCATAAAGGAGCAAAGAAACCAGAAAATATTCACACTAAAGAAGCTGGAATTGGCTTTTTTATCTTAAAAAATTACTCTAACCGAATAATTGATTATCGCAATAGTTGCCGATTAATTAAATAGTTGACAACTACTCGATTAAGAGTTGCAGCTCTACTACGATAACCCAGTCTGAAGACTTAAAAAAGTTAAAACAAAATCATTTAAAAAGAAGTGTAACCGAAATTTTGACAATAGATTATTGAAGCAGTTTTTCAGGCAAAAGTGAATATTTGTGTTGTTTTGTATCATTGTAAAGTGGATTAGAGCTGCGATTAGTCGCTCAACAGAAAACTCATCGTCAACAATTTAGATAATTGATGAATTCATTTTTCAAGCTAAAATGGTAAATATTCTGTTTTCAGCTACTAACGTGAGGATTTGCTGCTTTTCTTTGTCATATGTGGCAGTGAATTGAATATCGTTAGGTTTTGTACTGTTGTTACTGTTGTTGTACAAAACAAGCAATTTGAAGACATTGCAAATGGCATTTTTCATGATTTTTTTACACTTTATAGACTAACGAATAATCGAGAAAATAATATAATCGTTTTAATCGGAAGATTAATCGCTAATGGAATTACTTGCAGCCTTGAATTGCAGTCTATGGGTCCGGTGAGAGGGCTCCGCACGTACTCAAAGAACTGGAGTTACATTCGGGTAACTACTAATTTCCTCTGGGGAAACTATTTGCTAACATTTTAAAGACCAAACAATTAATTGAGAATAATGAATCATTATTTTAAACCGTTATGACAAAGTTTAGGTGTCTACATCAAGAGAATTGTACAAAGGCTGCAACTAATCATAATTTTCATTATCAATTATTCTGCATGTTGGTTTTTTAATCAAGTAATCATTTGGTCCATGAACCCTCAGAACAAAATGCCCATCACAATCCCCTAATGCTCAAGATGACTTTTGATTTACTTCTCTGTTAATGTTAAAGTGCTACAAGAACGATCACCTTGCCTGGTTTACACCTTGCTCTAGGGTTACAAGAAATACTCAGAATAGGAAGGCTGGTGGCGCAGCAGTTCAGAGAAAACAGGAATCTACTTTTGAGAGCTGCAGGACACTGTTCCTAGCAATAAGGAAGTTTATTGTCATTGTAATCGATAGAACATCGTTCTGTTTTTCAGAGACAGCAGCAACACACAAGTGTAAAAAATACATGCCAGGCAGGACACTAAACAACACAGTATAAAAACAATCAATAATAAAAGGCATATAAACAGTAACAGACATCAGTAATAAATAAATAAAGGCAACATCAGCATACAGTGCTTTTAGAGTTCCTAGTAATGAACAGATGAACTGGAGACCCTTGATCTCCGTATGTCTTAAGCCCATTTGTAAATGTGAAATAAACATTTTCATTTTTATATGATACAGATTGTTTATGTTGTTTATCTACTTTCCATCATTTACTTACACACACATATATATATATATATATATTTTATGGCTGGGAAATAAAACATTAATGATATTTATCACCATATAATTTACCTCAATAACAACATAACAAATGTTCAAAAAATCTTTGATTTGGTTCATTTAAATCACGAACGAATTAGCACTTAATTGTTCTATTAAGATATTTAGTTTGTTGAGGAAAAGGGACTGAGAAAAGATTTAAATTAATTTTACTCCTGCATATTTTCTGAGAAAATGTTGAATGTTCAACATCAGATTTGTTAAGTGATCCACAGTTTGGCATCAAGTGTTTGTTCTGACCATAAAGAATAATTTAAAACCACAATTAACCATCTGGTTTCTTCAACTTTCACTCAGGAGCAAGACTCAACCTTTAAACTGAAGTAATGATTTGACACTTATCGTGATAAATATCCATATCAATTTTTTTTTAATAACACAAATCTTCTTTTTATAGATGTTTTTATCTCACTCTTGCTTTAACAATCTGTTTCCCATGCCAATAAAGCCCCATTTAATGAACAGCATCAGTCCTAACGTCCACTGTTTGGCACTTTTGCTTGAAATTTGACTTTTAAGATGGATAATTACCAAAATGGTTGCCATCTAATTTTCTGTTTATTGATCAGTCGTTTTACGCTTTTCACCCCTTATTGATAACGATGATTACTGCAGGATTCACTTCTCTCCTCCTCCTCCTACATCTACAGCAGCATTCATCTTGTTGCATTGGAAAAGCTCGTGTTAAGTGATCTAAAAGGTTGATCTGTAAGTTGTTTACAGTGTGGACATTAACAGCAGCTCCATGTGCTGACTCTGAGGGAGCACACACAGAAACTGAAGCAGCCTCTGAGCGAGTTAACTCCAGCTGCAGCTAAAACTCAGGAGCACAAAGACGACCTCACTTCTTCAGGGAGTTAAGTTCAAAGAAACCTAAATGAGGCACTTACAGAATGGGTGTTGTTATGCAGCGTTGACTCTACTCCAGGCAGACCTGTACATGTCGGTTCATTCAGTCCTGCGCTGCGTTTCCAGAGGTCCGACTTCTCTAAACTACGTCGCTCCTCATCACCGCCAAAGTCCCTCTGCAGCCTCGTCAAGCCTGACAGCTTTTCTCCCACGTGGAAACCTGTGCCCAGCGCAGATGAAAACAGCCCCAGCGCCAAAATGCAAGATACGGACATCATGCTTGCAAAAACACAGCCCAACTTCGGACTCCGCGAGTAACTCCTCTGTCCCGAACTCTCGGCTCCACAAGCCCCCCTCATCAGCAAACGCATCTTCAATGACGGCCCATCCACCGCGGCAGAAGATTGGTCAGGACGAGAATAACCTGCAATCTCATTGGACAGCAAGATTCTTACCCAACTGAGGTGTCATCATTTTCTAGTGTTAGAGTGCCCCCTGGAGGAAAGCCTGCGCAAAGACCAGGACACCTTTAGTTCTTAGTGGAGGATCTTTTTTTAATTTGAAAATGATTGCGAGAAACACAAGCAAAGCACAACAAACAATCTGGAGGATAAGCTTTTTCCCACACGAGGATTAATTTAGTTTTTAATATCTGGTAGCCATTATTTTTAGCTGATTGGAGCTCTGAAAGCGACAAAGGCAGAATAATGTTATATAAAATTAAGATAAGGTAAATTTTGACAAAATGCACTGCAGAATGTTCTGGGTGTATACGTGTAAGTACTTCTTAGATCATCGAAAGGGACAGTAAAAAGAAAGAAAACCAATGTTATGTTAACTCCAGTTGGTTTGATACATTAAAAATGTATAAATTGAAAAAATAGGAAATTTTACAAAGGAAAAAGGAAGGTGTGGATGAGATGCAACAATTACTTTGCAATTACATGGTAAGCAACTTCAAACTCTTTTTTGGTATTAGACACTTTCAGACCACACTGATGAAACCAAACATTCGTTTTCACAGTATCATACTGTAATGTGATGTGACTTAGTACAATACTTAGACTAGTAAGCCACTTGGTGATTTGGGCAGCTGTGGCTCAGGAGATACAGCAGGTTGCCTGTTAATAGAAAGATCGACGGTTCAATCCCCAGCTCCTCCAGGCTGCAAGTGTTCTTGGGCAAGATATTGAACCCCAAATTGCCCCTGGTGGCTATTCCACCAGTGTGTGAATGTTAGTTTCTGTTTGAGTACTTCGGCTCAATGTGTGAATGCAATATAAAAGCGCTTTGAGTGGTCAGAGTGGACTAGAAAGGCGCGATACAAATACAGAGCATTTGCATTTTAGTATAAATCTCCAGATTTTAAACATAATACTTGAAACAACAATAAACACAATAAATAGACAAAAAATGAGTCGGGCCTCTTTCTGAATACAACAGTTTAATTGTAGTACTGATTCGTAACAAAAAAATATACCCCCCTCCCCTACGGTTTTCCTGCCGCTCAGTTGTAAGCGCTGGTCAGACCCCTGTACAGAGTTATACAGATACTGAGAGACATGAAGTAAAAATTAGCACATTATAAAGAGAAACCTCTTATGCAATCCAAAAAATTCTGTGCTGATGGAAAGTAGCAGTTGTGACATTCAGCCCAGGTGTACTTCCTCGTCCTCTCCCACCCAGAACTCAAACTAAGACTTTCAAGTCTTTTCTGCTTTAGATGTCCTTGATTACGTCCTCCAGCTCCTCTTTGGAATACATGTGGAAGGTCTTCCCAGGCTCTACTGTTGCTAGCTGTAGAAGGGACAGATTAAGAAGGCCTGCATGAAACCCGGTGTTTTCAACTCTGACAGTCCTGTGCAAACTTTAAACTGCTGTGGGTAGGGGTGTGACGAGACACTTAACCCACGAGATCAAGACGAGATTTTTAATTTTAATTCAGTTATAAACTCCTGGACTTTAATAGCTCCTGTGTTTCAGCAGATTTTTCATTTCAAACATTCAGAATCTCTCCCACGAACTGTATCTGTGTTCTCTAACATGTGCAGAGAAAAGTCATAATATAATGAGACTAATGTCATCATTTAATTTAAGCCTACCTGCCCTTTACTCTGCTGTGCATGATACTGCAAGTGAAACTGCAAGTAACTGAAACACTTCTGATCAGGCAGAAATTTTGCCACAAATCCACCCATGTTAACTTCAGCAGCTCATAAAGTGCAGCTCACAGTCTCAAAGAGAACAAGGTTGCAATTCAGTTTTTAGATGTTTATGTTGCAAAACCTTTCGTTCCAGCTCTTCACAACTGTCTGGACTCACAGCAAAAGCAGTGCGATTCAGTTGATTACTATCAAGGTGTACGCCGGTGTTGCATCAGCTGGGCGGAGTTGATTCGTTCTGCAAGTCTATCGTATCAGTTATACTTACATTTGTATTTCACTGCTTGAGAAAATTAACGTGTGGCTTGACAGCATGTGAAAAATGTCAATTGCGTGGCGTGAGTCTTGCGAGACAGCTCTTTACCTGATGAGAAATCTTGTCATAACTTAATCTCACCCCTAGCTGTGGGTGTTTTATTCAAAGAAAAGTGAAAATAACATCGCTGATGTTGTTTCAACTAGAAATTTTCACAAACACCATGCCATACTAAAATCAAGTCTTCAGAAACTGGCTGAGAAATATGGAACGAACCTCAATGTTGGTGGAGTTGAGCTTCTCCTCCATCACCTGCTTCAGAATGGTGAGAGATGACTTGATGGCGTCTTTTAATGTCATGGACTGTCCGTTAGCCACAGAGAGAGGGACAAACAGAAAAGATACAACTCTTCAATCCTGGCGATTTGCACGCCTTTACTTTAAATATGGGTTGAAAAAAAATCTTAAATTTCGGTAAATAATTTACCAACTCACACATGAGACAGCAGCTTGTAAACGTCACACTTTTTCTAGGCTAAAGGTTCCTGTTAAATGTAAAAACGTGTGCAGTGGTCAGTACCTTGTGGTAGACCTCTTGCAGAGAGCTTTGCGCTCCCTCAGACGCTGAGCCGATGGCCCGAGCATCACACTGCACAAAGGTTCCTGATGGGTCCATGTGGTACCTGCACTCACAAACAAATAACAGTTAAGTCACAATTAAAGGTGAACATGCTTCTGTTTAAAAGTATGTAAAGTGCACAAATAGTAATTTCTACGTACAGCTGAGGTCCTTTTTCATCAACTCCCCCAAACAGAAGTGCTACGCCGAATGGTCGACTCTGTATAGAGGACAGCACAGAGGAACAAAACAGAGACAGAAGAATACAGGTTAATCAAGGTTTACTTGAAGCAGATTCAAACATTTTGCAGATGAAGAAAAATGCATTGGTTTGAGGTTTGAACATATGAGTGTTTCAGCATGGAGATAAGCTAGGTGACTATGACTGACCATGGCACCAGGATCGGCGTCCTCCTCTCCAAACTGCAGCGCCAGGTTGGACACAGCCTGAGTCACACTCTCCACTGTCATCGTCTCATTGTAAGTGAACCAGTGGTTCTGAAGGACGAATATATACACAGGTTAAGCGCAGGAAAAACACAAGGTCAGGCAACTGCTTATATTACAGAGTGCCCAGCATTCATACCTGCGTTTCCACTCTTGCTTTGTCAATTAAAGTCTTGGCATCAGCTATCAAGCCACTCATGGCGCAACCTTTCAGGTGGAAAGAAAGAAAATGAAGAACAGGGAATCCAACTTTGAAGTCACATGAAAGGGACATGACTGAAACAGGAATTTAGGAATCAAACAACATGACAAAAGTCAAGTCCTTTTCTTTGTGATGTTAAAGAGAACCTTACCCAACATTCTTAGGTCAACCCAAAATGTAATTAAACAATTACAACTCTACTGGCTATTTTATATTTTAAGAAGTTATACAAATTGAAACAGCTTCTCAGTATTCACCTTTTTAGCATTGGTAGTTTGGAAGTTTACTCTACTTTTAACCCAGTCTTTCACTCAGCGTAACATGCATTGTATTTTTAATGTACATAAGGATGCATTGGATCACAGAGGCCAGCAGATTACATTCTCAAGTTAACATGCACCATACATTCAAAAACCCGTCATCATCCAAATTTGAGGTGCAGTAAATATGTGTATGACAGCTGACACTCAGTTTGTCTTTCCACTTACCGATGTGACTGTCAATCTCCACAATCTTTTCAATGCTGTTGGGCTCCATCAGCGGAGAGGTGATCCTCTTCTCCACAGCCAGACACACCCCCTCTGATGTCTGGATACCGATGGCTGTGGAGCCCAACTACAGAAACGCAAGGCCAGACCAAAGAAAACTTAGGGGCTCTGAGATGGACGCTGTTTTTAAGGTTAGTATACAATACCACAGAGAAGGAGACAATTATTCAACTGAAGTGATTCAACATGCAGTACTCACCTTTATAGCCTCTATGGCATATTCAACCTGGAACAATCTTCCTTCAGGAGAGAATGTGTTCACACCTCTGGAAAAAAAGATGTGAATAAAGTAAATTATTACTACTGGTTATAAATTCAACGTTGTTGGAAAACAATGTGTGCTGCCATGAAGTACGTGTCTTTGGTAGTGTGCTGGGTTTGTGATTATTTGTGTTTAATTTTTTTATTTAAAGAAACAAACTTTGAAAGCAGCGTTAACACCATTTCTTGAACACAACAAAATTTTTCCTGTTTTTATCTCAAATAGGTTTAACTGTTTAAATAAACTGTTTTTTTAAAGTGATATCGAAAGTGAAAGCAAACTAACTTGTTGGCAAGTGACTTGCTGCGAGCTAACTACCTTCAAAAAACCGCTACAAAGTTACGACAATGGCTGGAAACAAAAATCGCTTCTAAATGTCCTGCAGCAGTCAAAATTAAAAAAACCTTTCAAGTACAGACCACCTCGTAACATAAGTGTGCTCTCCTAAGTTTGTTCAGTCCCATCGAGAAGCATCAATAAATGACAAAGCAGTTTGTGTTGCACCTACCTGTCATATTCCGATCTTGTCAAAAACATCTTTTAACGTTTAACACAGGACCTGCAGAAAGAGAAGAGTGGTTTATGCAACACTCCTGGACTATAAAAACGAGTTAAAGCAGTTATAAAAGAGTGCGGACGACTCTTTGCGTCCGAGTTAGCCGTGACACCGGGTGATTAGCTAGCTAGCAATACCGAGCAAGCATGCTAGCTAACAGACGCGGGCACTGACTGAAACAACTACACAGGAGAAGCTCACAGAAGTCTAACATCAACATTCAGACATTATAATAATATTTAACAGAACACAGATGAGCAATGAAGCGACATCCTTTTAAAAAATGCACTTATTAGACTAATTTACCTCCAGCCACAAACCCTTGAATGAGTTCGCTTGTTTGAGGGGAAGCGTCTGGGGTGTAATGTTTAAACGCGCCGACTGTCAACAAATCGGACACGAAGGTTCCGCGTGTGGAGCTACATCCATACTACCAGCCGACTACATCCGACTACATTTAAATAAAGTTTTCCAGTCTGCTATAAAATAACGTGATACTGACATGAAATAAACGTTTCGTGTGTTCAGTTAACATTTGAAATACATGGGCAGGTTATTGTGATGAGGTCTGCAATAAAAGACCACGAGTTTTCAAAGATTATTATTGAACGTTATTTGAATTAGTCTAGATCAAGAATAGATGTCCACCAAGTTATTCGGAGTAAAAGTAGTAATAGCATAATATTTTGCAAGTAGTGTAAGAAGTAGGCCTACGTTTACTTGATGTATGATGATAAATGATCCTACATCAAATTTAGGAGGAAAGCCTTAGCCTATTCTTGTTCTCTGGAAGTGACTTTGACATTAGAATACTTAAAAACTACACAGTAAAACTAGTTCATAATTGTGCATGTAGTCCAAGGAGTATTAACTTCATCAAGCTTCTAATGGATCTGCTTAATTGTATTAGCATTGAATTTAGGGGGTAAAGGTTGTTTCAGTTAATTGTTATGGACTCCTCCGTCCTAAAGGATGCCTATCACTCTGTTCCCCGTGCAGCCTTGGGACTCTCTGATCACTGTCTGGTTCATCTTATCCCGACACACAGGCAAAAACTGAAATCTGCTAAACCTGTTGTAAAGACCAATGAGTCAAAGCTGGAGTTACAGGCCTGCTTTGACTGCACTGACTGGGGTGTTTTTGAGGCTGCAGCCACTGACCTGGACGAACTAACTGACACTGTGACATCTTACATCAGTTTTTGTGAGGACATGTGTGAGCCGACTAAAACCTTCCGCACATACAACAACCAAAAACCCTGGTTCACAGCAAAACTCAGGCAGCTTCGTCAGACCAAAGAAGAGGCCTTCAGAAGTGGGGACAGAGTCCTGTATAACCAGGCCAGGAACACAATGACTAAAGAGGTCAAAGCTGCAAAGAGGTGCTATGCTGTAAAGCTAAATAACAGCTTTGCAGCCAAAAAATGAAAAAAATGATACACTGCATTTTAGTTCTGGTCCGGTTCATGTTCACGCTGCAGTTTTACAGGAAGTAACCATGGCGTTACACAGAGGTAGCCTACAGGTAACTTGTTGATTGAACAGCTTTGGCGATTGTCATCCTGTATCATCAGGACCCAGCGTTTTTTTGCCAGCTGAAAACGCCACCCGGTCTTCTGCAAACGCCTGGCTGGGAGCGCTAGGGTGCGTTTTGGAGGCGCAGTGGGGGGTTTTTTGAGACGCTGTGGTTGCTATGATACATAATTTCCGTGGAGGTGATGTGTTGCATGTAGGGTAGCCTACTTAATTTTACTGAATGTAAAAATGCCACCACAAAGTACGTAGACCTGCTTACTCTGGCCTTTGCTCTGCATGAAGAGAAGGCTGACACATGAGAGCACAGACTGTCTGTACGTGGGTTCATGAGATTTTGCGGGTGAGGAAACACCTCGACTCGACGAGTAGGCACATCGTTTCGTTCAAGATCGGATGTGCTCGGGGCGGTGTTTGTCCCGCCCCTCCTGCACTGTGATTGGATTGATTTCCCAAAGTTGAACATTTTTCAAATCTCGGCGACAAGAAAAAAACGCTCCGCTCAGCGCCTCGTCACGCTCCTGGCGTTTTCACCAGCTTGGAAAAACGCGGCGCTCCCATTGGAATGAATTGAAAACAGACGCTGGCGTCAGAAAAAAACGCTTTGGTGGACACGGGCCCTAACAGAAGTTTATGCAGCACTTTTAATGCTTCTGATCTGTGTCGCAAAGACCTCAGGAGGTAATAATTTATTATAAGCATGATTAGTAGGTTAATGTTAGACCGCAGATCGACCACATAGCCTATTATGAATAATAACATAAAAACAGTGACATGTAGGCTACAGTAATAATTCGGGGCTTATCAGCCTAGTATACTGTGGTATCGCTGTCACACATGTTTTATGGACTTAAAGAACTTACAGGGTAAATGGAGTACTAGTATTCAGATAATTTATAAGATCGCTGAACACATTTCGCGGTCAGCAGATGGATTTATTAGTGGTTTAGCTTTGGAAATAGCCTAATGCTCAGATCACATCTCTGCGATCATAAAATCCTGTGGTTGGTTGGTTCGTTTGCTTTCACACCACAAGCGAACCGCACCAGAGTTCGTTTGAAAGCGAAGCGCTTGTTTGGTCCGCTTTTGGTGCGCACCCGCACCCGAGTGCGATTGCTGTATTCACACCTGCCCAAACGAGCCGCACCAAGGGAAAAACGAACTATAGTGCGATTCAACCGAACTAAATGAGGCAGTTGTGAAAGCATGGACCATATTTTAAAAAAAGGACCACGGATGAGCGAATGACTGCTCAATTGACCGCAATGCCTTGACGTACAGATCCCATATGGTCTAGCGGTTAGGATTCCTGGTTTTCACCCAGGCGGCCCGGGTTCGACTCCCGGTATGGGAACTAGCTTTTGAGATAAAGAAGCAATGGATTATCGCTGAACAATTCATAAACTGACCAAATACGTGTACTGCTAAATCTTCAATCGGACACAGTTGACAGCTCCCACATCGTCTCCTGCTCTTGAAAGACATAGGATGCGAAAATAGACATTACAATAGGTGCAAGAGAGCTCTGATGACTATACAGTTATCCTACATGTCATAGCCGGAAATCAGCCACTGAGGGTCGTCTTGGAGCTGAATAAGGAGAGGTATAAGCCGTAGCCGTGGAGACCTGTGGTTACTGAGCTCCTTTGCTGGATAAATACGGTAAATACTGCAATAGAGAGTAAATGTAATATGGTACAGTTTAAAATGGCCTGTAGGTGGCAAGATTATAGGCCTATGCCTTGAGAATTCATTTATTCATTCATCAATTAAACTTTAAAACTGATGACGATTAAGGACAAATTATTGACTTGGTTTACGTAGGCCTAGAGTAGGCCTAATCTCTGAGACTGCACATAAAATTGTCATAGCTAGGTTTTGAATGACCTTTAATTTGAAATGTAACCAGTAGGCCTAAGCATGCCTGTAAAGTTCCGTATTTCCTTTTGAAATGCAGTGAAGTAGAAGTAGAAAAGAACACTGTATACTGCCTGCAGTTGGCCTATCACTATTCATAATTTAGATTAATTAAACCTTATTTAGTTTGATGGGTTAAGTTCCTCTGTCAGAACCATAGATTGTATATAATAATGTCAGAACCAGGGGGAAGCAGCAGCACCAATATCATACAACACTGGCAATAACCACAGCTTGTGCTCGCAAATCTATTTGGTACATTTACCCAAGTAACACTAGTAAGCCTACAAATTCTAGGTTGGCCTACTTGTACTTTACGTGAGTGTTTCCAGTTTCTGCAGCTTGTACTACTTCTATAGCCTATCTAAGAGGCAAATAGGCTACGTTTTACTCCACTACATTTATCTGACAGCCCATTAGTTACCTTTCAGATTACAGTTCTTGCCTGTCCAGTGAAAATCTCCAAATTGTTTAACTTCAAAATGCATCGTCATAAAGCTGAAAACAGGGCTGTTTTCCTGAGCTCATGAAAAGTATCCTCTTTGGAGACGTGCTTCTCAGTAGAGCAACAATGTACAAACATATAATGATCTTATGCATTGATGTAGATCAAAATACCCAACAGTAAGCTAGTAGTAGTAAGTAGTTAAAATTAACATAAACCTCTACAGCAGTAAAATACAATATAAACATTAATGCAGCATTAATATGAACGTTCACCCAAAAACATCATTTAATATAGTATAACACTGAACTGAACTACTTACACATTACTTAAGTAAGGTTTTGCAGGACCTTTACTTGTAGGGCAACATACGTACTTGTAAAGTATACAACCCCAATTCCAATGAAGTTGGGACGTTGTGTAAAACGTAAATAAAATAAGAATACATTCATTTACAAATCCTTTTCAACCTATATTCAATTTAGTACACTACAAAGACAAGCTATTTAATGTTCAAACTAATAAACGTTATTGTTTTTTGCAAATATTCACTCACTTTGAATTTGATGCCTGCAACATGTTCCAAAAAAGGACAGGGACAGGGGCTACAAAAGACTGGGAAAGTTGAGGAATGCTCAAAGAACACCTGGTTAATTGGAAACAAGAGTGTCATGATTGGGTATAAAAGGAGCATCCCAGAAGGGCTCAATCATTCACAAGCAAGAATGGGGCGAGGTTCACCATTTTGTGAACAACTGCGTGAGCAAATACTCCAACAGTTTAAGAAAAACGTTTCTCAACGTACAATTGCAAGGAATTTAGGGATTTCATCATCTACGAGCCATATCATCAAAACATTCAGAGAATCTGGAGAAATCTCTGCATGGAAGCAGGCCGAGCTCATCTGAGATGGACTGACGCAAAGTGGAAAAGTGTGCTGTAGTCTGTGACTCCACATTTCAAATTGTTTTTGGAAATTATGGACGTCGTGTCCTCCGGGCCAAAGAGGAAAAGATGTTATCAGCGCAACGTTCAAAAGCCAGCATCTGTGATGGTATGGAGGTGTGTTAGTGCCCATGGCATGGGTAGCTTCCACATCTGTGAAGGCACCAGTAATGCTGGTACATACGTTTTGGAGCAACATATACTGCCATCCAAGCAACGTCTTTTTCAGGGACGTCCCTGTTTATTTCACCAAGACAATGCCAAGCCATATTCTCCACGTATTACAACAGCGTGGCTTCATAGTAAAATAGTGCGGGTACTAGACTGGCCTGTCTTTAGTCCAGACCTCCCATTGAAAATGTGTGGCGCATTATGTAGCGCAAAATATGACAAGGGAGACCCCAGACTGTTGAGCAACTGAAGTTGTACATCAAGCAAGAATGGGAATGAATTCCACCTACAAAGCTTCAACAATTAGTGTCCTCAGTTCCCAAGCTCTTATTGAGTGGTGTTAGGTGATTTAGCCTACTAACACAGTGGTAATCATGCCCCTGTCCCAGCTTTTTGGATCGTGTTGCAGGCATCAAATTCAAAGTGAGTGAATATTTGCAAAAAACAATAAAGTTCATCAGTTTGAACATTAAATATCTTGTTTTTGTGGTGTATTCAATTGAACATAGGTTGAAAAGGATTTGCAAATCATTGTATTCTGTTTGTATTTACGTTTTACACAACATCCCAACTTCATTGGAATTGGGGGTTTTATTATCAATAATCTCGATATTTGACCACTGCTATGCAGGTTAAGACAGACGTTAAGAAGCGTTTTGTGAGGAGAGGGGATGTTCGTGCGGGCCGGAGGTGTCGGGTTTCATTTCCCGGGTGGGATCAGTTCAGTCCGGTCCTGTTTTGGTTGTGTTGGATCCCTAACGTGGCGCTGCCTGTATCTTCTTTAGACTGTGAAATCTGACCAAATCAAGCCCTGCTGCCTTAATGGATGGATATCCATTACGTGTTTTCTAACTCTCGGGGCCTCTCAGGTGTACAGCCTTGACAAGTCTCCGTACCGTTAACATTATTGTCAACATGAAGATCGCGAGGGAGGACATCGTTTTTCAGGCTCTCCTCTTGATCCACAGTAAGTAGGGCAGGAGTTTGGTTAGTGCTGCGTTGTATTACATATAGCCTATCTCAGTCAGGTGCGTGCAGAGTAGCTATCTACAAAACTTAACATCTTTATTACTTTTTATGTAAAGGACAGTCTGCACCAGTAGGCCTACCATGATGAATTAGATGCAGGCTATAGGTATGTTCTCTTTTTCTCCGAACAGATTCAGCTTCATTAGACTTTAAACTTACTCAGCTAATCATTTATAAAGCACGTTTCGTGCAGAGGTAGATTCAAGGTGCTGTACGGAGAAGTTAAAAACAACATTCAGTGTTAAGACAATACCAAAATAAAAGGCACAATAAAAGAGAAGCTACATCTAGGCCTATATGAAATAGCCTACGATTAAAAATAAGAGACAAGTAAAAAGATAAATAATGAAAATGTTTAAAATAATAATACAATGATAATAAGGCTCTGGGTTTTTAGAGACGTTTAGGTAAAAGCGCTTCTCTCTCTCTCTCTCACTCTCACTCTCACACACACACACATTCCTGTCAGATGAGTTTAACTGAGTCAGTGTCCAAACTTCAAGACAGTCATTCACTTATATCTGCATATTAGGAATAGGCTACTTTCCACTGTTGTTTTCATGCGGTCTGACAGGGTCTGTTAAAGTGATTGTCCTGTTCACTGTTTTTCTTGCTGTTTCTATTTCAGTCTCTGTGGCCTGCCTCCTCTCTGCAGGTATGTTTCTCTTTGTGTGTGTGTGTGTGTGTGTGTGTGTACCCGTGCAGTTGTGATTCATATCTACGCATAAGCGCCTGAGTTAACAAATGTCTAACTGTGTGGACTCGGCTCATTCTCTGTCCCTCAGTGTCAGGTCAGTCTGGCAGCAGCAGCAGCGTGGTGGTGGCAGGTTATAATGTGAGCGCCCCCGCTGGATCGAGGGTGGTGCTGCAGTGTGTGAGCGGACGCATGGTGTGGACCAGGGACAGGGTAAGGGACAGGCAGAGGGTGGTCCACTGGGACTTATACCGGGCCAGTCCAGACTATGCCAGGGAGAGGATGCTGGACATGTTCTCTGCGGGGGACCAGAGGATCTACAACTCCTACAACCAGGGCAGGGTCAGCCTCAGCCCCACAGCCTTCATGGATGGAAACTTCTCCCTGGTCATCAAAGGTCACACTCACTGTCTTTGACTTCCGTGCCTGTAGCTGTTAGTGAATTGGTTTCATATTCAAACCATACAATTAGTTTTGGGACAAATGTTGAACCCTCCAGTCAAAATGTAGAAAAATGTTGCTTGAGACAGGCTATCCATCAGTGACCATGAACTTGCCATAATGTATTTATTTATTTGTTGAAGTTGCATTATCACCACAGTAATAAAGAGAAGGTCACTTAGGGCTTCCTCAAGGAAATGTTTCAGCAGAAGTGGTAAAGTAGATCTTAATGCAGCTCACCTCATGTTAGACAGCCTACACAATAGTCTTCTTTTAAGGGTGTTGATTTTGACAAGGGTTTGATTCAAGGACCTAGATGATTCTTTTCTTAACATTTGTGCTTGCATGTTGCTTGTCTGCCATGATGTATGTTACAACAGCTGAACAAAAAAAAGCAGCAAAGAACGTCACAAACACCTGACTGCACCACTCAGAAGGACTTTGTCAGTTTTAAGTTTCTGCAAATCGATTTTCATACCAAAGTGAAATGAATGGAAGCCCACTGCTGCCTAACATACAGGATATCGGCCTAAAAATGTTTGGCATGCTTTGGCAGTAATGAGAAGTAGGCCCTACACATGATTTATAACTGCAGTTTACAACGCTGCCTTTTTTGTGTTTCTGTGTGTGATGACAGACGTGACAATGAATGACAGAGGTCTGTACTCTTGTAACCTCCAACATCTCTACTGCCACCTGTACGAGACAGTCAGAGTACAGCTCAACGTCACTAAATCACGTATGTATCGCACTCTGCCAGATATCAGCATGTTCAACTCATAACAGCTTTAAAGCTGACTCGGTTTGTCTTTCTTTTTTTTTTATTACCATAAAGGTCGCAAAGAACAGCGCTTCTGGGATGGACAAAAGGCGGTGTATGTGGTGCTGCTCGGCAGTACCGTGGTGCTGCCGTGCATCAACCGACGTAACGTGTGGACCGACTGGAGCGACGAGGAGGAGGACCAGCAGGTGCGTGGAGTGCATGAGCTTGTTTGTAGATTTTCCTCTGACAATCAACCTCAGTCTAGATGTACTAAGATTCATTAAGAGTGATTTCATGATATTGACTGATAAATGTAACCCCTTCCCAACCTTGGTGGGTTCCAGGTGGTCCACTGGGACCGTCAGTCCCCAGGAGTCAGCCATGACCGTGCTGACCGGCTGGTGGATCTGTACGCCTCTGGGGAGCAGCGTAGCTACGGGCCGCTGTTCCTTCAGAGGAAGATGAACATCAGCAACCAAGCTTTCTCAGAGGGAGACTTCTCGCTAGCCATATCGGATTTGCAGGTGTGTGTGTAAAAGGAGAGTAACAAAACAGAAAATACAACAGGAGCCTGATAGTTTTAGTACACATTGTAAAAAAAAACAAACTACTATGGCAAGAGGTACACTTCCCACTTGGGTCACCCTTGCTCTAAATGTGTGCCCCATGTAATGTAGATAACACATGGAACTTTCATTAGAAATGCGCTCTTGTCAAGTCAAACGTCATTGTTCCGTTGGGAAATTGAAGTTGTCATTGACATCCATTACCAACAGTACCATAACAAACAATCCAAAAAGTGTCCAAACGGACTTCCTACCAGTCCCCCTGTGCCCTTTGTAGTAATAGAAAGCAGAGAAAAGTTTACAGTCATATTTTAGGACTCTCAAGGGTCCTGGTGTTTTTTGATAGAGCTCATAAATCAGAACATTTAGGTTAAATACAGGCTTGGGAGGCTCAGGGCTTAAAGACCACACTGTGGAACGGGGCCAGTTTTCCAGTCAGCCACAGGCAACTCTCAGCTGACTGTCAGACCACTTTTGTTCTTGTTTTATGTAGAATTAATTAGCTCTAGCGTAATATACATAGTTTCTCAAGTTTTGTGCAATAGCAGAAGTTTATAGTGCTTTCAAATGATCTCATTTGCGCAAATACATATTAATTCTATACCAGAGTAACATTTATTGAACAATAGATGATTACTTAACTCAGTGATGAAAATAAGCAAATTTGTTTGTTTCGCAAGTGAACAATAAAGGCTTGTTTTAATCCATTACCCATGCTGGAACTGTGCAGAACATTATAAGGCTGCTAGTGCATGAAAAGCTATGAATATGAACATGTAATATGTTTATGTATATGCCAGTCTGTTGGTCAGAGGCTGCACCACTTTGATTCCCCTCAGCCTCAGCTTAACTTTATGTGTAGTGCTAATTAGCAAATGTAAGCATGCTAACAGGCTACCAAGTTCAAAAGGGTTGGGTGTTAAAGGGTTAAATTACAAAACTTTAACAGCAGCAGGAATCTTTAATAACGTGGATTAGTTTGGCGTTTGGAGACAGTTTGTCTTGTGTTAGCACATTCCCATCAATCCATTCTAGCGTTTTTGAACTCCAGCTCCTTTGACGTTGTTGATGGTTACCCTCGGACCACAGAGTTTCATCTCAAAAATCAAACTGTATCGTGTGTGTGTTTGACTGTCTGCATTCAACATCCAGCCGACAGACAGGGGGATGTATTCCTGCCACCTCCACCATCATTACTGCGGTCTACATGAGAGAAGAGAGTTTCAAGTCACAGTGGAACCACCTATGATTCAGACCACCCTGCCAGCCAAAGCACTGCCTAGTGAAGACAAAGGTAACACACACACACACACACACACACACACACACACACCAATACAAATCTCTCTTCCTGCTCTAGTTCGTCCATGTGAGTGCCTTAGCAGATAGGATGTTTTATGACTTAGTGGATTTGAAATACCATGTGTACAATTAGGAGAAAAAACAACTCACATCTGCTCTTTCCTTCACTCTCCCCCCTTTCTAACATCTCGTTTTGTGTTTGAGCAAAAGGAGAGGAAGAAGAGATGAGAGGAGTGGGGGGGGGGGGTGCATTTCAGAGGTTTTCATGAGAGAAGATGTATTTTCTTGCACTGTCAGCTCGCCTGACGCCAGACCTCTGAAACCGCACACACTTCCTCACAACCCTGTCCTCCCAACCTCGCCCTCATCGCCTCTCACCTTCCTCTCAGCCTACCGCTATTCACCATTTCATCGTTATAGCAACATTTTCTTTCCTGCTTTTTCCTCCCTGTTTCTCCTCTCTCAATTGGTTTGGTTCATATTTCTCAGTGCTTTGACCTGCCTTAAATACATTCTTTCACTGAGTGCACATTAGAAAGAGGAAAAGAAAAAAAAGGGTTGGGGGGGGGGGGGGGGGGGGCAGACAGGGGAGAGGATAGGCATGTTGGCATGGCAGCTGCCTACCTCAAATTCTTGGAGAATGACAGAGTTTCTGGTGCATGTGTTTGTGTTTCCAGTAGGTAACTGAAGCAAAGCCGAAAATGGCAGATGTATCAATGTGGGAAAATCATTGAGAGAGATTTAGTAATGAGAAAGCCTGTGGCCGAGTGTGTGTGTGTGACAGAGCTTGCCAAATCCAAGCTCATTTCAGTGGAATCTCTCAGATACAGTCTTTGGACCGAAGTCCAGCACTGCCCACACAATTAATCCTTCACTCCCGAGCTGTAATAATCCAGTAGGATTGCACCATGGGAATTTTACTGGTTAGAAACAAGATGCATAACTGATTTATCTCCAGTGCAGGAATGAGTTTGCACAGTTTCCTTCCCTGTGCTCTCAGACATTAGCAGCCCACAGCATTATTTTGTCTTATCTGCTCTCGTTTTGCCCTCTCTGACTGTCTGCTGCCCTGTTGACTTTGGCTCTCTCCTGACATTCTGGAGGAGTTTCACTCTTTCTTCACCCCACCTTCGTCTCCCCTCTGTCCTGCCTTCTTTCAGTTTTTTCCTCTCCTTTGAGGATCCCACATGCCCAAGTTTGTTTGTTTTTAAACACGTTCCTTTCACTTGCAATTTTCCATCACTTTTCTCATCTCTTTCTTTTTGCCTTTACTTATTAAAGAAAGTGAACTCTTTTCGGCAAAGTTTATAGACAAGAACGGGATGTTTTGCTTCATCTGCGTGGCAGCTGGCAACACAGAGGCAAAACCACACTCAGAGGTAGACAGGCACAGAGAGACAGAGGGATGGGGTTTTTGAGATAGAGGGAGATATACAAAGAGAAAAGGAGGGGGGGGGGATGACTGTTGATGATATAGGGTAGAAGGGATTTAGGTCACCCCTCCCTCCATCCCGCCCGTCAGTTATTTCTCATTGCAGTTTGGGCAGGAGAACGGGGCAGCCAGTCTAAACACAAACACATATGTTCCCATCTTGGGCACAAGTCAGGAGAAAATGGCTTGAAAGTAAATGAAAAGGATCAGAGGATTTGTAATATAAATGAACATGCTGTTTTCATGTACTCTACTCACAAGCAGCTGTGTTGTTTGGGATCACACAAAATCCCAAACAGGGCGAGGTCTTATCTTGCTTCATATTGCGAGACAAGTCTCTGGAGAAACATCTCGACGTCCCCTTCCTCTCCCTTGGCTCTCCTCCTTTGTTCCACCCGGCTCTGTCCTTCCTTCACTCCTCTTCCTCTCTTCACTCTTTTGTTTTACTGCCAGGAAAAGTAAATCACAGCATGACTTTCTGTCTGGATCTCATTATGGCTTAAATATGTTGAGGTCCACAGCTGCTTCTTGCCTTGCACTTTTTTAAATGACGCTAAATGAAACCAGGCACACACCCCACCCCCTCTGCTTGTCAACACTCATATCACATAATGTTGTCAGGCTAATTATTTCCAATGGCCCTGGAAATGTCATTGCATGTGTGTGTGTATGTATGTATGTATATATATATATGTGTGTGTGTGTATATATAGTGTTTAAAGTGTTGGAGCTTATGTGGCATCACACACATGCAGTAGTGAACGCATATGCAGATCCACACACTGTAAACGATTTTTGTTGGGTTTAGAGAGAAATCTCTGCTCATATGTTAATCTCCTAGCATTATTTATATTCTGCCACTTCAAACACACATTAAACACAAACCACCCAATGCCCCGGGAACAAAGAGAAGATTACAGATTTGAACAGAAGTTAATTTGAAAAGTCCACTTCTTTACTTTGTTCAACATCTAAAACACAAATGAGGTAATTACACGTAAAGTGACATTGGGCTGTGATGATTACAAAACAGATGTATCATTGTACTTTGCTCTTATTCATACATTGAAAGAGAGAATATTTCCTTCTTTAAAGGATTTTCTTGTTTACAGAAGAAACAACGATTTAGTACAGTGGTAACCTGGTCACACTATCACAGAAGCTTCCATGTTTGCATCCATGCTAGCTTCTCTGTGTGGCTGTTTTAGCAACACGCTAACACACTCACAATGACTATTGTTCTGTGCTGATCTTTACAAGGTAATGTTTTCACTGTTCAGCTTGTTACCATGCATACATTTGCACTAAATGCACAATTTGCCAACCTGTACAATCTGTTTGTACAGAAGTAGACATGAAATGACTGCAATTAGCACTAAACACAAAGTTCAGTTGTATTTGATGGAACGAACTGACCGACACTACCTCCCTGCTAGTGTGGCTAAAAGTATTGTTTTTACCAATGTGAAAGAGAATTTGAAACCTGTAAGAACGACTTCACAAATAAAGTGAAACATCTGTACATTAGATGAAAAGTGGATAATTGCAGGTTAAGCACCGCTCATACTAAGGCTTTGGACAGAGTATTGTTAGGTGTTGTTTTACACTATTAAGTTAAAGCATTGAAAACTTGCAAAGCCACAGAAAGTACCTCCAAAAGGGAGTGAAGAGATGCTGTGAGGGAGAGCTATTTATCACTGGTCATAATGCCTTGTTTTCTGTGTTTCTCACGAGGTGTGTAATGTCTGTTCAGTGTGAGGTCTGGTCTTGATTATGATTTATGTAAACGTTATGATGAGACATTGGTCCATTTGTGATGGAAAAGACGAAGAACAGAGGAAGACTAAATGCTGACTGTTGCGATCTCTGTACTACTCAGACACCACTAAGGCTGAATCACCGCGAGTCATCAACGTTATTCTGCCAGATCAGCGACACCACTTTCTCCTGCCGCTGGGCTACGTCCTCACCTCCTTCCTGCTCCTGGCCTTCATCATCCTCATTATCATCCTCATCACACGCAGACATAAAACCAAAGGTCTGACCTGCGGTACCTCAGTCTGACGATATGTGATGTACATTGAATTTACGATTCTGAACCTCATCTAATTTTTCTTGTGTTTTCAGAGTTTTATCCGCATGCATCCATGAGGTGAGCGAGAACCCACAAACACACACACACAATCACTGTCTCACCCTTAAACACACACTCACTGTCTGTTACTGCGATAGGTCCAGCAGAAGTCAAAGCAGCTCAGAAGAGTTCGAGATGGACGTTGCTGAAGGGAATGTGTGCAGCCGGGAGGAGAGAAGATTTGGTGAGTGTCAATAGTTAGTGGTATTTTGACTTTCTCGTGTGTGTGTGTGTGTGTATTTTGACTTGATTTATTTTAGACTATAAGAACAACCTGCTGAAAGAGAACCACATGAACCCTCAGCCTAAAGTCATTGATCTTGACAAAGGTAACGCACTCACATGCAAAGTCAGCTGTCACAAAGTTTCTCATTTCCCTCCTCCTTAACCTCAATTTGTCTTCTTGCAGAGATGCAGAAATTTTCTAAGTGAGGAAATGACGAATAAAAACAAGCTAAACTGGAGTCAATGGCTGGTCCAGAGGCTGCGCTTCAAACTGAACTCCTCCTCTCTGCCTTCTGTCCTGGCAGGAGAGACAGCAAGAGAGAATATGTAAAAAAAGAAATAAAAAATAGCTCACACTGAGGCCACATGTTTCCAAATTGTCAGTATTAGAGCCAAAGAAAAACCGAGTTTTCTTTCGTACTTGATCAAACTAAAAAGACTGGACTTTGGACCACTGTGCGTGGACAAGAGTGCCACCCAGAGGAGAGTCTAAAGCAAGCCTTGTTAAATGAAGGATTGATGTGTACATAAGGCGAATAAAGCTCAGTTGTGACCGAGTGAATCTGAATTATCAGTTATTACAGCTTTGATCATTATTCCTGAAGTCAAAAACAACATTTTGATATTTTTGTTTTCACTTTGTTCTGTTTTACTCACATATCCATCTCAGCTTAACTGACCGGACTAAAGCACCATTGAGGCGCTACTCATCAGTGTGTACTGCTTCCTGTAGGCTATGATTAACTGTATGCTAACTGACCAATGAAGCGGTGTATGGAAACAATTTTTATCTCGATGCTCATTTTTTGTGGAATGTTCCCTTTTTACACGTATTAAATGTAATGTATTAAATGTCAATGTTTGATGCTGATGTTCAAATGCAATTGCTTCTCCCACGTGATTGGTCTGAGTCTCTTTGTGTTCAAATGACCTTGTGAATATCATCCAATAGATATTGTTGTTTGTTAACTGAATGTGGACATAAAAGCATAGGTGTTGCTAATAACATTAAGGATGGCTGTATGCTATGCAAGAGTCCCAGTAAGACACGACAGTGTGAGAATGAGCCAGCATGAACAATACCAGGACTCTGAAACTCAAGGAGCTAAATGTAATTCAGCCATCATTAATTGTATTATTTTCACTGCTAATCCAATAAAACCTTGATGCAGGGGCAAAAAAGCTTTATGCAGCTGAGACTTTTTGTGTTGTGGTCTGAGTAGTTGCCAGGATTCCAGACAACCCCACCGGAATTTTTTGACTAGTTAGTATAATTTTCAGATATCCATTTGTGTGTGTGTGTGTGTGTGTGTGTGTGTGTGTGTGTGTGTGTGAGATAATTATTACTCCAGGGACATAATTCTGGTGAAAAAAAATACAAAATCCTTTTGAATTATTTTTTTTGTTGTTCAGCCTAAAACACCGACAAAATCGAGTCTACCAAATATCAGAACCTATGAGTAAACTCTTCAGGCTCCGAAACATTCAAAAAAGCCAAGGGCATGACTTCAGTGTACCCATTGGTGGTTACGGCCCAGGTTAAGTATGTACACTCATGCCTAAGTACACATTAGGTCAGAGTTCATTTATTCATTCCTTTGTGTCACAAACAGTCCCTGAATTCAAGACAAATGGCTTTTTACACACTTTGTGAAGATTGTTTTGAGCTTTTTGTATAAAATACATGGTACTGTCATTTACTTTAAATCTAAAAATGTTAGAAAACCCTGGTCTGTCTTGCACTGTTGGACAACTGTATCGATGGAAGCAGCTCTCAATCCGTCAGCGCGCGCGCACATTCATGAACTCACCTGAAATCTCAATCCAGTACGAGAAAAAGTGCGACAACATTCACAGAATTACAACGGGTTAATCAATTTCTCTCCGTTTCACACAGCCAGTCATACAGACAGCTACACAGAGTCTAAGAGGAAATTCATTCAGTAAGTAACCCCAGGATCAGAGGAAATTTGGGGCCACGCTGTGTCTGTTTACAGTTAAAGCTACAGGTACTGTAGGGTGATGACCAGGATACTGTGTGGAGAAAGGGCTTGCTACAGGAAGGTTTGGACATCAGGGTGGTGTTGTAGCACTAACTTCAGTTTTGAAATGATCAACACGTTTGCTGTTGCTCGTGAGTCAGAGTAAGATAAAAACTGATGTTCTGGACAAGAAGAAACCAACCTATGGAATAAGAGAATACACTCCAACAACAATTAACTTACAAGATTAGAATCTACACAATATAAACAAAGAGCAGCAAATGTGTCTTTGTCTTCATGTCCATCAAAAATAATTTACCATGTCTCAGCCATGGTACGTTACTATGCAGTTGAAGAAGTTGATGTGGTACACATACTGTACAACCTGCACTCTGGAGAAGAGTCTGACGTGTGATCCGATACTCACACTGGGCCAGCACTGTCTTTTTCTTGTCACCCAGTCACACCCATCGCGCAGGCCGGGTGTGTGTACACAGTGCTCATGTTCAGGGGCAGCAACCATAGGACCCTCTTCCAATATTGTGAGTCAAGTGGCTCATGGGGCCAAAGGATCAGGCCAGTCTTAAATACAAACTAAACCCCTATGGGGTCTATAAACACAAAAAGTAGACAGGTATAATATTAATGGTCCGATAAAGGCATTAGGCTGACTAAGAGAAAATGCCCATCCCTCTCACCTCCTCTGTTACTCGGCCTGGTCCAGCCACCGATACCTTTACAAAACATGTCAAAATTTAAACTAAAACATAGGGATCCACTCCTCCAAACTGGTCAGAAGAAATGCATGTTGGGAGTTGTCGAGGTTTGTGGCAGGGCTAGTTTGCTGTGAGCCGAGTGCTTTGTTGTTTTGGCTTCCAGGTCTCTCAAGTGTCCACCACAGGTCCGATGGAGTCCTGCATACGGTTCTCCAGAGGGGACGAGCTATCGGGAGCAGGAGGGTGAGGGGAGTGGGTGACCCCTGTAGCTGAGCTGCAGCTTACACAACCCTGCAAGACACAAATATAAATATTAAACATGTGCTCAGGTGAGCAGAAAGATGAGTATGTTTGTGCTGAGTGTCAGTGTTTGGAGATCCCCACCTGTGTGTCTATCTCCTGTGGGATAGTGTGCTGTTGGATCCAGGGATGGACCTCAGCCAGCTCCTCTCTCTGCTCCTGGCTGAACCAGGGCTGGAGGTGCTGAAGCACCCGGAGCTTCTCCCTGTCTTCTGTCAAGACCTCACCCTTGTCTCTGGAGGAGAGGCAAGACAGGATACAAAGCAAAGATGAAGGATTACATGACATGAGAGAGGTGGACGATACATTTATCTGGAAATTACATTTGACTGTTTGACATTCGAGGATTAGACAATGATATTACACAATCAAATCAGCAGAGGTCGTCTATAAAGCTAAAGTTCACCTCTGCCTAAAGAGGCTACCATCACAAGCAGACAACTCTGGACTTCACAGTGATTGACAACAGTTTGTTAAAACAAGGTTTGAGAAGAATCTTGAACGCCAATGTTAAGATCAATGGATCAGATTACTGTCAAGCAGCCATGGGGTGTTACAGGGTGTCATTAAGCCCAAAGAGGGTTAAAAATGACAAGTCTTACAAAGATAATTAGAAAAGACATAATCTTTTAGTGGTCCCAAAACTAGCTGCTTCAAAGAGCTTGACAGGAGACTGAAAAACATAATAAAAGAATCTGGCATTTTACCAGAGCTGTTATTCAGCTTTGGAAGCCACTAAAAACAATTATATAATATAATTATGGTATTACTTTTAAATGATATTTTCCAATTCAAATCAAGGATTTATCAACATGTTGCTTTCATGGCCACACAAAGCAAAGGCCGACAACGGTTTTGACAGGACTGACATTTCACATTTGTTAGTAAATGAATGGAAGCTGTGAGAGTGCTGCTGTGTTTATACCTGGTGTGGATCTGGTAAGACATCATGACGTGCTCTGGCACTTGCTGGATCATGCTCCACAGTGAGCTCTCCACCTGAGTGTCGAAGCTGTGTTGGTGCTCTGCTGGTGCCTCCTGGCTCTTACGGGCTTTGCGTGATGTGTCTGATGAATCATTGCTGGCAAAGTATTTGCTGCTGTTGCTGCTGCCTGTAAGTCAGGAACAACTCTGCATCAGTCACTTCACCCAACTATTGAGTGAATGCTCCTCTGTCTTTCATTGTCCTCAGCTGCTTTGTTTGCAAATTTAGCATATAAAACAGTGTATTTGGGATATTAGAAATATTATCCACCATCTATAAACACAGAATGCGTGCAGATACTGTTTTAACCATGAATGTGTTTCACAAATATTGCAAAGTGAGAGGACAGCGTTTGTCTTTGTGTGTATTGTATACATTTTTGCTCACTCTTACCAGTATGTGAGGTGGAGGTTCCATTGGAGCCAGATCCAGATCCAGATCCTAGGGAGCCTCCAGACTCCCCTGACCCAGACCCAGAGGCATTGGATCCGGTCCCTGACCTGGCATCCTCCTGCAGGAGCAGGTCAAGCAGCTCACTTGATGTAGACTGGGCATCATGATTCCCAGACTCACTGGGGTTATCACCCTGATCAAGGCACAGGTTTAACAGTCAGAATTAAACCAAATACCTATACTTTGATACAAATGGAGAGCTACAGTATGTACTGTATATCAACAAATACTGGATATGTATGATAATACAGCTACTGAGAGAAAGATAGGAGTTGTTCAAAACTTGAAGAAGGACGTTGTTAGAAAGTAAAAGTTTTGGCATCTTGAAGGTAAAGGTTGACAGAAACAGCAAATTCACCTGGTTGGCATGTTGTTCATGGAGGCTCTCGCTGTGGTTGTGCCCGGTGCTGCTCTGTCCTTCGTTCGGCTTTGGCAGCTCCTCCTGCAGCAAGTTCAGCTGCAGCGGAGAACTCGAGCGAGAGCTGGAGAATAAAGCCCGAGGCCCAGCTTCCTCCTCCTCTTCCCCGACGGAGGAGCTGGCTCTATGTGAGCAAAGCAGGGGGCCCAGGGGGCTCTGAGTGTCGGGGACAGGCTGGGCTTGGAACTGGGGATGAGGGAAGGGGGCACTGCCAGGGGCAAAGCCTGTCGTGGTGATGGGTACCTGGGGCAGAATGGAAGGAACGGACGGCGGGTAAATGGACGGGTAGCCTGGAGTGAAAGTTGTGTAATTCGGCAGGATGACAGCCATGACCGGAGCCACGTAAGGGTTGACGCTCTGGGCTGGAGCTATGGGCTGCAGGTTGTGAAAGTTCTGCATTGGCTGCAGATTCTGAAAGGGATCCATCTGCAATAGCTGCATGCCAGGCAGGCTCTGAGCAGACTGCATGATGTTGAAGTTGTAGCTGAACTGGGTTTGGTCAGGAGGCTGCAGCACCACGGTGGTCGCTCCAGGCTGCTGTTGTGGTCTGGGCGGTTGCTCCGGGACAGGCTGGGTCGCCATCATTGGGAAGAATGGTGTCTGGGATGCTTGGATGAAGGGCGCTCCCATATGGGGCTGTGAGGACTCTGAGGAGGGCCAGGAGGAGTTGGGGACTCTACGAGGAGGGCCAGGTGGGGAAGCGTAGCTGTCTGAGGAACCCTGGGGTTTGGGGCGCTTGTGTCTGAGCTTTCCTCTCCGAGAGCGGTTCCCCCCACCTGCACTCAGTGGACGTAGGTAGTCACCTGTGGGGAGAGGGACATAGGCTGCAGAGTAAGTTTGAAGTGTTCCTTTAAAAATTTTATTCACTACTTCTCTCTTCACTACTATTCACAGTCACTAAATCCACATGTGTGGTTGTCTTTAGTGAAGATATACCTGGGTGGTGGGAGTGCGCCATAGAGCTGTTGTCCAGTTGCAGATAGGAGCTGTAGGGGCTCTGGAGGATGCGATGCCGGAATCGATCCACATACTCTTGCTCCTCCTTCTGGGTGTGAGCCGACAACACCTCCTTGGTGAGACCAATAAACCTTCTTTCTTCTGTAGCCGGGCTCGGGGCGGGACGGGCGGGAGTCGAAGCAGCATCAGCAGGCTCGCTGCCCATAGGGGCATCCTCAAGTGCCGTGGCCTCTGTGGGAGAACATTGAGGGAAAAAAACATGCTCAATAGACCTTCTTAAAAGAGAGTGGTCCAAAGCTTTAACTGCCGTGTGCAGTTAAGATCTACAGTTGCAAAAGAGCATCTGAGTGTCTCCAGTGTTCTGA